CAAAGAAGGACAAGAGAACTCAAGAACAAGTGGTGGACAAAGAAGGCTGAAGAAATCCAACACCTGGCAGATACCCATAATGCTCAGGGATTTTTCAAAGCCACAAAGGTGATCTATGGACCAAGAAACCATGGCATACAGCCTCTACGCTCGTCAGATGGAACCAAACTCCTGAAGGACCAAAACTAAATTGCACTACGTTGGAAAGAACACTACCAAAGCCTGAACCGCAGCTCCAATGTGGCCGAAGAGGTTCGCTCACAAATCCCGCAACAACAAACCAGGTATGAGCTTGCAGCACTGCCTAGCTTGGAAAAAGTCAGCAATACCATCAGCCAACAAAAAAATAACAAAGCCAGCAGACCTGATGGGATCCCTGCTGAAATCTTTAAAGAGGAATGACCTGGACTGACACACCAACTCCACCAGCTCATAGAAAAAGTGTGGGTGACCGAGAAAATCCCAGTAGATTTCAAGGATGCCACCATCATCACTCTCTTCAAAAAAGGGGAAAGAACAGACTGCGGAAACTATCAAGGTATCTCCCTTCTAACCTCCGCTGGGAAAATCCTCGCAAGAATCCTTGCAAACCGCCTTCTACCCCTCTCAAAAGACACCCTCCCAGAATCCCAGAACGGCTTCCGCACCTCCAGAGGAACAGTGGACATGATCTTCACTGCATGACAGCTCCAAGAAAAATGCAGGGAACAAAATCAACCTCTGTACATGGCATTTATTGACCTTGCAAAGGCATTCGACACAGTGAATCGCAGCGCCCTCTGGACCATCCTCCAAAAAATCGGGTGCCTTAACAAATTTGTGAACATCCTGCGGCTCCTCCATGATGACATGATGGCAACAGTCTTGGACAGCAATAGTTCCCAAAGTGACCCATTTAAGGTGGAATCAGGCATCAAACAGGGATGTGTTATTGCCCCAACTTTATTCTCCATCTTCATCGCTATGATACTTCACCTTGTTGATGGAAAGCTTCCCACCAGAGTGGAAATCATCTATCGGACAGATGGCAAGCTGTTTAACCTCAGCAGACTGAAAGCCAAAACCAAGGTTACAACAGCATCTGTTATAGAACTCCAGTATGCTGATGACAATATCGTCTGTGCGCATTCAGAAGAAGATCTACAGAACACTCTAAACACCTTCGCAGAAGCATACGAGAAGCTCGGCCTGTCATTGAACACTGAGAAAACTAAAGTGCTGTTCCAGCCAACCCCTCTCCAATGCCAGAGATACAGCTTAATGACGTAACATTAGAAAATGTTGAACATTTCTGCTACCTTGGCAGCCACCTCTCCACCAAAGTCAACATCGACACCGAAATACAACACCACCTGAGTTCTGCGAGTGCAGCATTTTTGTGAATGAAGCAGAGAGTGTTTGAGGACGGGGACATCTGTAGGGATACCAAGGTACTTGTCTATAAAGCTATTGTCCTCCCAACCCTGCGAAACGTGGACTGTCTACAGACATCACATGCAACTCCTGGAATGATTCCATCAGCTCTGCCTCCGGAAAATCCTGCAAATCTCTTGGGAAGACAAGCGGACAAATGTCAGCGTGCTGAAAGAAGCAAAGACCACCAGTATTGAAGCAATGGTCCTCCGCCATCAACTTTGCTGGACCGGCCATGTTGTCCGGATGCCCAACCACCGTCTCCCAAAGCAGTTGCTCTACTCCGAACTCAAGAACAGAAAATGGAATGTTGGTGGACAGGAAAAGAGATTTAAAGATGGGCCCAAAGCCAACCTTAAAATCTCTGGCATAGACACTGAGAACTGGGAAGCCCTGGCCCTTGAGCACTCCAGCTGGAGGTCAGCTGTGACCAGCAGTGCTACAGAATTTGAAGAGGCACAAATGGAGGGTGAAAGAGAGAAACGTGCCAGGAGGAAGGCGCGTCAAGCCAACCTCAACCAAGACCGCCTTCCACCTGGAAACCAATGTCCTCACTGCGGAAGAAGATGCAGGGTTCCACAGACACCTACGGATCCACAAGAATACTGATCATAGAATACTATCCTACTCGTCCAACAAGGGATTGCCTAAGTAAGTAAGTAACATCTAAGACCTGTCAGATATTACCAGAACTCTTTCTGTCTGCTGTTATTCTTGAATAGAATCAAGAAATATCCCCCTACTCAGTTTTTCTATAAATCGTGAACAATTCCCATTGCACACAAAGACTGATAAGTGTGTGACTTTGCGCAGCCTTCAAAAAACACAGTCAAACTCATGTTAGCTCTTATGAGTAACAAGGCTCTTTAGCTATAGCAGTTTTGCCAAATCTTTTTGGGGGAGGTATTTTGTCAACTGCACATTCTTGCATCCTCCTGTCTTATTGTGTAGTACATACAGAGTAAGCTTCTTGCAAGCCCACAAGAAATTCTGGAAAAAAAAAAAAGCTTAATCACATTTGAATCTTTAAGTCTGCATCAATGCTCCTGGTGGCTTAGTCCATAAACCCTCAATTCCACAACGGCTGCTGCTTCGTATTTGAAATAAGAATACTAAGGAAGGCATCTGCTGCTTATACTACATACTAAAAGCCACAAAGACAGTGATATTATTAAGGAACTAGTAACTCTTCCAGCTTTTGCTATTCTCTATTTCATTATTGCTTACAATAACAAGACTTTGAACAAGATAACACTTGTAGGAGCGGCAAAAGTTTTTGCTGTAGATTCTACTATAGCTTTGTTTCTTAAAGAAAATTTAAGAATAATTTGCTGATACGTTAGACTTAGTAAATTCACGTTTAAGAAATTATGTCCTTTCATTTAAGTATTATGTCTAAAACAGGAGCAAAGGATACCCCTTTCTTAAATGTTATCATCTCAGAAAATCCTCCTTATTAACATGAAATACTAGTGTAATAACCCCAACTGCTCTTGTCCTATTATCCGTCAAATACAGTGCATTTTTGTGTTCTGAATCACTATTATAATTAATAGTTAAATAGATGTTTCCAGGATACATTTTTTCTCCTCACGGAAATGCTTGGACAAACTTCCCAGAAGGAACATCAAATATTGGCGTTTGTGGTTAGCCAAATGTTGTGTGTCCCTTGAAAGGGAGGGAAATTCCCAGCAATATGGTAATTTATTTCCATCTGATGGTCCAATTAAAAGCATCAAAAGCTTCTCAGATATCTATTGTGTATGGAGGAGGAGCATTAGTAAAGGGCAGCTTCAGAGATACATCTATACCAGGGGTCCTCAAACCTTTTAAACAGAGGGCCAGGTCACAGTCCCTCAAACTGTTAAAGGGCCAGATTATAATTTGAAAAAAAAAACATGAATGAATTCTTATGCACAATGCACATATCTTATTTGTAGTGCAATAAACACTTAAAAACAATGCAATAATTAAAATGAAGAACAATTTTAACAAATATAAACTTATTAGTATTTCAATGGGAAATGTGGGCCTGTTTTTGGCTGAAGAGATAGGATTGTTGTTGTTGTTGTTGTTGTTGTGTACTTTCAAGTCGTTTCAGACTTAAGTTGACCCTGAGTGAGAGCTGGGTAAATGACCTTGGAGGGACGTATCTGGCCCTTGGGTTTGAGGACCGCTGATCTATACTGTAGAATCAATGCAGTTTGACAGCATTTACACTACCATAGCTCAATACTATGGAATCATGGGACTTATTTTACAAAATCTTTAGCCTTCTCTGCCAAAGAGAACTGGTGCCTCACCAAACTACAAATCCCAGGATTCCACAGCTTTGAGCCATGGCAGTTAAAGTGGCATCAAGTTGCATTCTGTGATGTAGATGTACCCATAGAGATGCTGAAATTACCGTTTCTGTATTGAATGAACTCTGGTGGATTATAGGATAGCCAATGAAGCAACAGTATTATTACTCCAGACAGTAATAGAATGAAGAGACTATTCAGTAGCACCACATTTTCCCCTTATCATAGGATCACTATCAGCATCCTTCTCATCATGTTCTTAATGCAGAGTCCATTGAGAGGCATGAGAGATGGGAAATCTGAAAGGAGGGCTGTGGGGACTAATTTGCCGTAGGAAGCATTGGTTGCAGAACAAGGGAAGGTAATCACAGAAAGGAAAATTACTATGTGAAGACTTATGTTTAGGTTTGTTTCATATATTCATAGAAAAGAAAAGGCCTGCAAGATCTGAAATTAGGTCCCTGAAGTCCCTATTTCTCCTCCAGTCAATGTTTCTGAGTTATGTAGCAGTGCAATGGTTATATTGGGTTAACAAACAAAAGAGATGATCCATTCTTTTGAGTCATATTCAGATGAAGCCTTTACATCTTTTTTAAAACAACAAAACCCACCTGGCATGCGCATGGGCACACAATGTGAAAGCACCAATGTTTTGCTACAAAGACACACGGAAGTGTTCGGAACGACACGAGGCAGCCAGGAGTCTGAAAGCTAAAAGATAAATGTTGCTGTGCAAATACACAGGAGGTATATAGTGCCCATAATTAACTAATGTAAGATGTTTTGCTTAAAATACAGCTTCATTACCATCTATTGTGGTTAAAACCAACATTAGGTGTTTGGCAAGACTGAGAAGCAAAGCTCCTACTTTACGCTAGAAATGCAACCTACGGGATTTCAATACTACAGCTTTTATGATTTGTTTGTTTATTTATTTATATATTTAGCCAGTTAAAAAATAAAAAAATCTATTTTCTAGTCTGAATTCAAAAATGATTGACTAGTGCACAGATATCAAGTAATAAATAAAACAGTCCTAGAGCTTGAAAGACTCCTGAATAAAGAGAAAATTATTTTTGGATTTTCCTTCTGATCAGATATGAAATATTCTGAAACGCCACCACTATAATTTGATAAAAAGCTTGATATCTCCAAATGAAAATAGGACTCAGCACTTTCATTTTTTTTCTGTCTCTAAAGGAACCTAGGTAAACTGATTTTCAAAAAATGAAAATCTCAGGCATAAAGGTGGAAGTAATGAAGCAAGTTTAAATATGCGCTGACCTTTGAAATGAACTGCAATCCATGTTGTTTGGCCGAGAACTGGCTGTGTAGCTGTCTCCATTGATTTCCAAAGCATAAAAGGTCCGGGTCTTCAGAGCTGCTCTGCTCTCTGGTGGATGTTGACAGGCATCGCTACACAGAGAGGAGCAAAGGCAAAAGCATAGGTTCGGTGCTCTGAAATGTAAAACAAAGAGCCCATCAGGAATAATATCTTGCTTGTTAAAATGTAAGCAATAGTTTTATGATATGGTATGGTATTGTGTATGTGAGAAAGGGGGGGTGAGACTTCCCCCCACCTTTTATACTAAAAAATCATTTGTCTTATGAAAAAGGGAAGAAGGAAAGATTGACTTTCTCATATATAAGTCTAGAAATGTTAGTCAAAACATTGATCCAAAAAACCTGGTTCGACTTATCCACAGGTCAGTCAGTGTAAGTATTATACTTTCACTGTTACAAAAAAGGAACCATCCCCTTCTCTGAACTGAGCAGTAAATGTTTAGTCTGTCCTGGGAGAGCAAAAAAACCAAAACAACAAGCCCATCTATTCTCTTCGCTGTGTCATTGCTTTTGGCTTTTTTGAATGCCTGAGCAAGAAAATGGCAGTGATGGCAACTATATGCCAGCACTGCCCCCCTGGGACAGTGCTAGCACTTTCTGCTCTTTGTGGACTGACCAAGGACTTACCCACCTATCATGTCAAAATCTTTAATTTTGGACCCAAAACCTGCCCTCAACTTGTACATGAGGCTGATATATACACAGGTATATATGGTAATTGCAATGTGACACTGGTGGTAGTGTCAGGAAATTTGAATATATTCCCAAGCATTCAAAAACACTTGGAAGTGATAAGGGTCCGTCCCACAGAGAGCATATTTTCACCCCTACCTTTTTTACACAAGGTAGCGCCAACAAGGTGTAGAGCTTTAAGCGTTAGACTACATCCCTGGAGACCAAGGTTCAAATCCCAACTCAGTCATGGAAACCCATTGAGTGACCTTGAGCACATCACATCCTCTTGGGCGCAAAGGAAGGCAAAGGCAAATGCCTTCTGAACAAATCTGGCCAAGAAAATCCTGTGACAGGGTCGCCATAAGTCAGAAATGACTTGAAGGCATACAACAGCAACAATAGTTACCCAAACACAAACCCAGCATTAAAAACAGTCCAGAGGAAGAAAGAACAAAAAGACAGTACTTTTAAAAAATATATCAACTTTTTCAGATTGCAGAACACTTTCTTTTCATGTTTCCATTAGCATAGCCTGGCCTGAATTGATGTCTTCCAGAAGTTCTGGACTAGAGTTCCCAGTCCTCCTGATCATTGGTCGAGCCAGCTAGAGGAATTTGCATCCCAAATATCTAGGACAGTGGAGATGGTTGGGTAAAGCTGTCTTAGCATCTTAGAAAACAATAAGTTGCTGAGTACTTGTATCCTGTAATTAAAACTAGCTGTACTTGGCAATTAAAATTATCACATCCTACCCTGTTTCATTATACAGTACTTAACTTGTTCCTCTTAATAAATAGGTTTTAGTGGCCATTGAGTCACAGTGCAATAAATTAAATACTCAGATTCCCCTACACACAGAAAGAGGGAGAAAGAGAAATTATGTGTCTCATCTTCTTCATTACAGCAACCTAATTTAGGAATATAATCTAGGCTGCATAGCCCTTGGCTATTTCCTCTAATGCTTTACCTCTGGTTTTCTGCCTCTCCTCTGCCACTGCTTACTGGCAAATGCTACCTGAGGCAATTGGCTTACTCTGCCTCATACAGGAGTAGAAATTATGAAGCCCTCCAGATGCTTTTGGACTGCAGCTCCCAGCATAATTCACAATTGGCTGTCTTGCCTAGGGCTGCTGGGAACTATTGTCTAACCATATCAGGATGTCTGTATGATCTCTCTCTCTCTCCCTCTCCCTTGCCCCCTCTCAAAACACATATACACAACAAAGAGAGGAGGGAGGAAGTCAGAAAGACACACACACACACACATAGTGAAAGTTCAGCTTACTAGTGCGGTTATCACTAATGGTTTTGAGAAGAAGCAAGTTGAAATACATGAAGTGGAAACTCAAATTATGACATTGCCAGGCAAGAAAGACATGTTCATTATTACGCTACTTTTAGGTGGTTCTGTTAGCTATTTTACTGGGTCCAATACTGATAAATCTTTATAAATGATGTGGATAGCAAGCTGGTGACACCAAAATGTGTTTCTGTGTCTGGCGGCTAGTACACCAGAAGACCAGAACAGAATTACTCTAACATACTGGATCAAAACCTACAAAATGCATTTGAGCAGAGAAAAATTCAAAAGTGCTGGCTTTGGCCTATAAAGCCCTAAACGGCCCCGGCCCAAATTACCTGTCCGAACACATCTCCCCCTATGAACCATCGCAGAGATTAAGATCCTCCGGGGAGGCCCTCCTTTCCGTCCTGCCATTGTCACAGGCAGGATTGGTGGGGACAAGAGACAGGGCCTTCTCGGTGATTGCTCCCCGGCTATGGAACTCCCTTTCTGGTGAGATCAGGTCAGCCCCTTCTCTCCTGTCCTTTAGAAGGATGGTAAAAACTTGACTGTGGGACCAAGCTTTCGGGACAGGGCAATAAAGCGGCAATAGGAAAGATGACCAGGCCAATGATCTGACGCGGATGACTAGGATGGTTTTAAATGGTGTATTTTAATATTTTGATAAATGTTTTTTAATGTTTATGTATTGTATGTGAATCTGTGTCCTGGCATTGAATGTTTGACGTGTATATGCTGTGCTCTGCCCTGAGTCCCTGGGGTGAGAAGGACGGAATATAAATGTTTTAAATAAATAAATAAATAAATAAAATGTAATGTTCTATATTAGGCATAGAACTGTCAGAATAAAAATGGGAGAGTGCTCCTGTACATTTAATAGTTTACAGAAGAGGGAATTTCAGCAACCAGAAAAAAAGCAACATCTGCCGAAACTCTTTCTTCTACACAATCATTAATGATGCAGAAGCATGCTCCATTTTTCAGTCAGGTAATCCCAATTAGAAAAAAAATTGTGGTCTGGGTAGACCACAAATATAACAGAAGTCAGCAGTGTCATTAATAACAGAAAACGAATACAGTGCTACCACTGTATTCGTTTTCTGTTATTAATGACACTGCTGAATTGTATCTAGCACTGGGCACCAAAATTTAAGATTATCAACAAGCTGAGGGGCCAAAAAAGAGTGATGAATATAAGAAAAGACCTGAAACTCAGCCCTATAAATAATGTTTTGGGTACCTGGGTATATTTTGTTTGGGAAAGACTTGAAAAGTGATATGATAGCCATTGTCATGTGGAAGATGGAGCTTCCTTTCTGCTACTGCAGAGGATATGGCGAGTACCAACAGATGCAAACTGTAAGAAAAGAGATTCCAATTAAACATTAGAGGAAATGCCTTGATGCTGAAAGCTGCTTAAAGGTGGATAGAATATCTTGAAAGGTGGTAGGTGGAGTGTTCAGAAGAGAGTCTGGGTAAGCATCTATCAGATGGGGATTTCTGCGCTGGTAAAACAAAAGATGGGCATCTTACAACTTAATGAATCTATGCCTGATAATGATTTAGCATTTGCTACAGATATAATTTATTCTGTGGATGTAAAATGCCATTTGCACGTTAAACAATAAACCATGGATGCTGACTGCCAGTCAATGTAAGGTCTGCATTGTAAATGATAGTCTGATAACAATCTGACCCAGATTAAAGCTGTTTCCTACCACTGGCTTTCAAAGGTTATTGCAATGAAACTTAGTCATTTATTAAGATAGCCATAATAACAGGAAAGCATACGTCCCTTTATCCTAAAAGTGAAAAAAGCTTCATCTTAAATGCAAATTTGCAAATATGAACTTCAGTTCATTAGAAACCTGTGAAGGTTTACACCACACTGAAATTCTTTCCAAGATGCCCTGATGTAGTTGTGGTTCCAAGATGGGAATATCACCTTTAATTGGTGCTGTCATGTTTAGGTGAAAACTAAAAGGATTCCTTTCTGGAATCCTTTTTGTTTGTTTGTTTGTTTTAAAAGTGTAGTGTCTTTGTTCCCCTTGAAATGCAAACATGGTTCGTAATGGTGGGTCACTCTTGTATCTAAACCATGTGGCTGGTACAGTAAGACAGTCTTTACATTCTAAAAGAAAGAAATATATGAGACACTAAGCACATTTAGATGTGCATTTTTTAAAGGGATGTAAGATAATGTAAAAAAGGTCTATAAAGAACTATTCTTTAGTAATAGGGGTAAAAAAACACATGTGGCTAAATATGCTCTGCCCCTAATAAAACCCTACACTATGACAGTAGTCTCACTTATCCAACATAAACGGGCCAGCAGGATAAGCAAAAATGTTGGATAATAAGGAGGGATTAAGGAAGAGCCTATTAAATGTCAAATTACATTATGATTTTAGAAATTAAGTACCAAAAATCATGTTTTACAACAAATTAACAAAAAAGGGAGTTCAATACATGGTAACGTTATGTAGTAATTACTGAATTTAGCAGCAAAACATCACAGTGTATTAAAATAGCTCTGGATTCGGGTGAGAGGCTACATTGGATAATACAGAACATTGGATGAGCAAAGGTTGGATAAGTGAGACATTACTGTACATGCACAGAGGGGTTTCTCATTTTACAAAGCATAACTTCATTAAACTGCCATTATGCTCTGTCTTTCCACTACATTCCAGTTCCTAATTATTTTCTGAAAATGAAAGACACAACTTATTTCAGGCTATTTGTTGTGGAATGTTCCAAAGTTGAAATATTCTTGCCAGGGATGAATTCTGAAATCTCACAATGAGTTTTGTTTGTTTGTTTTTTAAAAAAAACAAACAAACATCTAAACATACAGGCTGAAAACATCTAAACATACAGGCTGAAAAGACAAAGAAATTTGCATCCACTGAAGTTAATGCTAAGACACTACTTGCCTGGCAATCTTACGGATTGACATGGACACCTTTTGTTTTGAATTTAAAATACTATCAACAGTAACAAATTTTAGGGTCGCTTGGTACTGTGAATTTAATTAATTACTGTTTTAAAGTGTTTAAACCTAACACTGGATGGGACTATGTACACCGTCTTATCTTCCCAAACTTTGATCTTCCAGTTGCTTTGGTCTCCAGCT